TGAAACTCCATCCTTAACATATTGGACTAAATTCAGTCCCAGTATAAACTCATTGTAAATAGCAGGTTTGTTCCAGGAATGAATTTGGCCCAGTTATAATTAAGTACTATAGGCCATATTGCATGTAAGATCATCCATTGTTCTGAACCATTGAACAATTAATCTCAATAGGTTGCAGTATGAAGTGTTTCAAACTTTACTTAGTATTTCCTGCCTCTGAGCTTTTCTGAGACTTTTAATATTACTTTAGTGTAGTTTCTTGTTGTTCAATTTCCTAAACTTTTTTTTAACAACCATATTTTATAAATCAAGAAAGAAATTAGAATTGTACAAGCTTGCAATAGGATCTAAGAGATTTAAAGTTTGGGTAAAATCCAAGCTACCCATTCTCCCATAGTTGCCTATTATTGTTTGGAATGGAGGGAAGAACTCAGACAAAACATCATTTTAAAAGTTTTAAAGACATAAACTAGAGAAGCCAGCCCAGTTTTACATACTTTCTGCCACGAAACCTACATCTGTCACTATAACACAGTTAGCCTCTCTGCTCGACAAGGTTCTTGTCCAGCTATCTGTGGCTTGTTCATCAAACTATATTTTGGGAAAATTGGCCTTGTGGTTTAGACACTGAGACTTGGGTGATCTGAGTTTGGTACCCAGTTGTGTCACTGATTTGCCATTTAACCTTAATCAAGGATATGTTAACATACCTGTGACAGTAGTTCAAGTAGACATACTCCCGCTAGCTTTAACCTGACTAGTGAAAGTTCCAGTAAGAAACTTAGTATGGACCAGTATCGGGTAGCCACTGGGTAGGGATGTGCACTCTTACATCCTGATGACATACACCGATCCCCTAAGGGTGACTAGAACCTGGTTTGATCGGTCTAGGTGGGGTCCAGTGCTTTCTCTTCCCGCCTGCCATGACTTTGATGATTAAGAGGTATTAATGAGAGGGAGGTGGTGACTATCCGCCTCCACCTAGACGACCGCCAAGTTCCACCCGGCTTCCAAGGTTTTGGAAGAAGGGATGGTACCTGAATAACCAGCCCAAAGCAGCTCCTTCTTTTCTCCTTTTATTTATTGTTCGCTTTTTTTTTCCGTGAAAGCCTGAAGGGTTTTCTTTTAGTCCCAGGCCGGGGGAAAGGACTGGGTCCCAGATGTCATCTGGGGCTCTTCAGAGGCTCCTCCGCAGCTCTGGGCTTTCCTGCAGCTCTGAGGTTCCTTCCTTGGCTCCGGGCTTCCCTGCTCTTCTTTTCTAATTGTGGCTGTGCTTGGCTTAATTGGTGGCGCGCAACCACTTAATGAGCATGGGAACTCCCGTCTTCAGCCGAGCGGCTGGAGGGAAGGCTGTCTCCGCCCTTCTTGCTCCAGTGGCAAATGATTTGCCGCCTCCGGATAAACTCCAGGTCAAAGGAAAAGAAAAAGAAAAAAAAAGGAGCTGGCTGCTTGGGGCACCCAGCCCTCCACCTTCCCGGCCTGCCTCTTATGTCCTTCTTCCCCTCTTGCTTGCTCCTGCAGCAGGGCCATCGCTGCCTCTTCAGCACCCTCCCAGATGCTTACCCTGGCAGTGGGGCATTCTCCCAGCATCTCGGGATCCCCAGCTCCATTCTCCTGACTGTCTGCCGTCGGGCCTCTTCCTCTTTTTGCCCCGTCTCTGGCCCCCAGATACTGCCCCAGCTGTGGGCTTCCACCAATCCGCCTCACCTGCTAAGGTGGTAAAGACAAGCAGGGGCGGATAGGGAGCTCTTGCCACAGCACCGATGCCTCCATCTGATAAGGACCACGCTTCTGGCTGAGGGCATGCCCCAGGTGAGTGTCGCTTGGGTCCCCACAACCAGAGAAAGCACCTAAATGCTAAGTAAATATTTGGGCAGTTAATCTGTGTTCTGTGCTGTTACCGCTACTTTTATTGGTACTCAGCTGGTACTTTAATTGGTACTCAGCAAGCTAGCTTAGAACCAGTTTGGGTTTATCTACATGCAGTGCTCCCATCAGGAACAAATTACACCTGGACTAGCCCAGTCCAGGGCTGCTCCTGCCTGCCCTGCAGTAGGCAAGGGGAGCTCCAGGCTCCTCCAGGTGCCAGCCGGAGGGGCTGGCAGGGCCATGGGGGCCAGTGCTGATCTCTGCCAGGCAGAGAGATCTGTGCTGGCTGCAGGGGCAGCTGTCTCCCAGCCTCGTGGGTATCAGGATGGGTCCCAATCCCCATGTGGCTGGGAGAGTTGTGCCAGCTGCAGGGAAAGCTATTTCCCAGCCATGTGGGAATCGGAATTGATCCCCATCCCCACATGACTGGGAGAGCTGTGCCAGCTTCTGGGGAAGCTGTCTCCCCACCATATGGCCCGACTCATCCTGATACCCAAATGGTGGGGAAACAGCTGCCCCTGCAGCTGGCACAGCTTCCCCCACATCAGGGTTTAGCCAGGCAGCAGCAGTCTCCCAGTCAGCATCTGCACATGCGCTATGGCACATTAATTAATGTGCTGTTTATCTAGTACCTCTATGTGTTGGATCTAGCAAATTACACTAATGTGGTGCACACTAAGTACATGTAGACAGTGACACTTTATTATGCATTAGATTAATTTACCATGCAGTAAAGCGTTTCATAGACCTGCCCACTGAAAATGCAGCTGTCACAGTGAGGCTCATAGCAAGTGTCTATACTGTTAAATGCCCATGCAAATGAGAGAGAGAGAGAGAGAGAAATGAATATATCAGAGAAGTTGAAAAGGAAGACCTCACTTTAAATCCTAACAGTATTTTAAAAACTGAGTTTAAATAGCCAGCAGTAGACATAAGCACCAGAGTTACCAAAGGAGTGCTTATGAGGTTGTCTGTAATAGAAAGCACTGTTTTTACAAAATTACCTCAAGACCAAACAAGACCTACTTGGGTTTTTGGAGGTTTGTATACTGATATTTCAGATCTTGCATCATGTCACTGAACTGGTTAAGAGTTAGGCGAGTCCTATGCCTTATAATGTATAAAGTATGGTTAGGAGTATACACCTCTGTGCTATCATCCTTTCCTGCTAATTAGGGTGATTTTCTTGGGGGTCTCAGGCAGGAATGGATTACAGACTTGGGCAACTGGAGGGCTTTTCTGTGTCCACTCAAAAGAAACATCATAGTGTCTGAACTGGAGCTGTTTCCAGCAAAACTGATCAGAAGAGTCCACTCAGTCTATGGATGAGTGAAAACAGACACAGACATATATCCTTACCTTAGCATATTCGGCAGCTTTTTGCCAGGCTCCAACTACCAAAATAATCTAGTTTGAGATCATATCCCCCATCCCCCAAACAGGAACCTGTACAACCTATGTAACTGTCCTTTCCTATAACTAGGTATACATTCCAAACTGTGGGTGTGATAAGCCTGTGACATCAGTGGCAAAGATCAGCCTCACAGAGATAACCACCTGGTATCCCTTTTCAGTAGTAGGGATGAGTCCATGGCTATAAACAGATGTTGTTACATGCCCTGGTACAGCTGATCTGCTTCACTGGTAGAAGTAACACCACCTGTTGTCCTGCAGGGTCAAGCCCCTGCCACACCTGGGAGCAGGCAAGGCATAATCCTGAAGGACACCACTCAGGATACACCTCTGCAAATAGGGGAACCCCAGATTTCCCCACTTGCAGAGACATGCCCCAAATCAGAATACCTGGGTATGCCTCTGCAAGTGGGTTAACCTGGTTTTCCTCAATTGCAGACATATAACCTGAGTTGGGGTGCAGCAGCACGACCTGCGCCTAGAGAATCCCCTGCTGGAGGGTTCCTGGCTTGCATCCCTACAAACAGGGGAACCTGGGCAGGCGCTCCAGAGGCTTCAGGACCTCTGTGAGAACCTGCCTAGGGTGGCTGGAGGATGTGGATGGATGGTTCTGGGTTGCCCGGTCTCTCCCAGCATAAAGCAAACAAATGTCCAACGCAAAAAAGCAACACAAATGTATACCACTGATGTCACAGTCACAGATTTGGGGCATTTGTGATGTGATAAGGGGCACAGATGTCTGTTTGCTTGGCCTTTGTGTTGCCATACAAATTTTTATGGTGACCCAAAGGTCTTTCTCTTTGCTTACGTACAGACTTGAGAAGGATTTGAGGAAACATCCTGAGTGTTGTGTTAGTAAACAGATGGACACTTAATTCCCTGAAATATCTTTACAATGTCATGATTGTCAGTGATTATGGCTGCCAAAGCCTCTGCCTGTTCTCATATGACTGTAACATTGTCCAGAAGTTAAGCTACGCTTGCCCTATTTTGAAACTAGTAGTAAATGCAACAAAAAGATTAAACAGTCTGTAAGGGGGTTGCCATGCCACCCTGAGTCACGTCACCTCCTGGCTGGAATAGTAGTGTCTTGTTGCTGTAGATTGCCTGCCACCCCTTCAATGTTATGAGAGATATGCATAGACACTTCTAGAAGACAACTGGCTACAGACTCAAGATGTCGGCAGTGTTTCGCATGGCTCCACCATTCCCATCCCCTGCCCTCACCACACCTGATGTTCCGGGAATTGTTGATTGCCTCTAAGATCAATTATATTCCTGTTCAAAGGATCCTGGACTAAGACCCTTGTCTAAGTAGCTGCTTGCCCTGTTCTTCCCTGCACAGAACCCAAGACAGCTCTCTCTCTTTCTTCTGGTCCCCCCATCATACTCCTGTGACTGGGACCCACTCTCTCTTCTTCCTCCCCTCTCCGGGGAGTAACTCTGCCTATGCTTTCTTCTTCCCCTAGGTCCCCAGAGTGGTTCTCTTCACCCCCCGGTACTGGACTCACCGGTTGTTCAAGCCTTTCCATCGGCTCCAATTCCCCACTGGTGCTTATCAGGTAAGTCACGAGGCCGGAGCTTTCACTTTGGCTCTTCTATTGATCTCCTTCCCACACCTCACCTCACCTCACCTCACCTCACCTCACCTCACCTCACCTCACCTCACCTCACCTCTTCTCTGTTTCCTCCCTTCCTCCACTCCCAGGATGCTCTCTCGGTGTCCCTTAAATCTCCCTCTCCCCAGCTGGGTCCATCATGGCAGCTTCCTATTCGCTGCCTGTCCAACACAGCTGTTCCTCCTTAGCTTTCCAGCATGGTTTCTCTCTTTGTTTTTCTCCTTCTTGTCTTCCTGTGCCACTTTCCTCTTCTCAGGTTTGAAACCTGGTAGCTGGGTTTGCTGTGGCAGCCTTTGATCTGCCATGGCCCCAGCTGATTCCCCCAGTTGTTTCAAGTGCAGCGTTTGATGTCTCCGGGTTTGTTGCAGCTCCTTCTGCTCCTCAGGGTAAGTTTTTCTCTTTTGGTTCTTTCTCATTCTGTCCATGGCAGGGTGCTTCAAGCACCCTGTCACACAGTCCTGAAAAAATAAGGAATGAAGATGGGGCCCACCTGCATAATGGCTAACATTACATAAGTTTGACACTTCTGGCTTCAATTCTGTGGGAAGCTGGTGGGTGGATGAATAATTCCACTACCCAATAAGGCAAAATGTATGGACAAAGCCATGGACCCTCAGCAAGGGAGCATGGTACCCCAGCAGAGTTGGCTGTGAAACATGGCAGGATTGTGACATTCTGAGATTCATTTAGGTGATTTGGAAAGAACCTTTTACCCATTTATTTAATCTTGCAGTCAGAATTGAAACATTTCTGTATAGGAAGAGAACACAACCTCTTAGGGCTGCCCAGTTTCTGCAATTACTTGTTCTCCTAAAAGGAATCAATTTGTGATTAGGAAAGAAATGTCAGCTCTGAGAGAGGGGATGTTTCAAGAGGGTGAACATGAGGACCAAATAGTCTAGATATAATTTACACAAACATGAGTACATTTTAAAATCATAGAGAGAAGATGTTCTGCAGAAATCCCCTTAACAAGTACCAGGGTTTATGGAAATACCATCTGTGCAGCACATTGAAAATTCACCACAGAGTGCACAGGCTACAGACAAAAATGTGAGAAAGCAGAGAAAAAAGAATATTAAATAATAGGGCACAAGGATGGGGGCAGCAAGTATCTGTGTTTGGGGGATTGAGGGGGAGAGTCTGAGGATTCTCATTTACTCTAAGGACCTTTAAAACGATCTGTAAATAGGCCTTACATTATACTCCCGTCTACTTTAAGGCCCCATTTTACTGCAAGGGCCAATTAAAGGACATTGGCATAAATGGGCACAATGACACTGGTTTTCATTTACAAAGGACCTTGTCACATGGATAGCACTTGTTTTATTTAGATCATAGTAAGCATTAGTGTGCCATATTCAAAGTTAGAACATGTTCTGAGCAGTTGCATAGTCATGTTTACAACATCTTCTAAGCGTAATGTGAGACATGGTACAAGATCTCACCAGAGTTGGTTCAAAACTCTGTGCAGTGCTAGGGCTGGGACTGATAATCAATTGATTGTCAGTCCCATCCCCAGGACTTTGAAGAGTTTGAAGAGTTTGAAGGCTGGTAGAAGTAAATACACAGCCCTAAAATGGGCCTTAAGGAGCATATCATTACTCCAGTTATAACATTCACTTAGTTTTTCATTCAAGTCCCCTGTTTTCAGAATTAAAAAGGGGACTAGCATATAATCAGTTTGTTTTAAACAACTGAAAACTGAATCAATCTTAGCCCTACCTGCTCTAGTGAAGGTGCTGGGGGCTGTCCATTTAGAAGTTCCAAAAACACTCAGACAGTTTCATGTCACCTCTGTACAACTCATTGGAAGACTCTTGGCAACACATCGTTATTTCCCATGGAAGTATGTTGACACTACCCTGACAGCAGCCTGCAACGGAGTTTAACAAATGTAAAAACTCTAGCTCTTAGCACTGTTTAATAATAAATAAATCATTCCTGCTTCAGTATTGTAACATTAAAAAGAGTTAAGGAGCAGTTAACTGGCCTAATCAAGAGCCATGTGCCAAATGTTTTCACTGCAGTTTGAGGCCCTTTTTTGCACAGTCTATATAAAAATGTACTCTTGTGAGTTCTTCTCCTTAGCAGCCTTTGATAAGATCAAAATCCATTGCATAAGCGTCACTTTTCTTGGGGAAAAGGTTAATTACCCACAAAATTTGATTTTAAAAAGTAAAGATGTTTTGAGGTTAAGCAAATACCATTTTAATTATCCCAAAGTTTTGCCAATTCTTTTCTGTATTTAATCTTTACAAGTAAACTCATAGGTTTTACTTTCTGCCATGCTAACACACTCATGAATAGTATGCTTTTATTGAAACCAGAACCTTGTTCACAAAGCAAGTGCATTAGCAAGGTTGTACCATCTCAGCACACTAGTCAGAAAAGAATGAGATTTAAATTAATCTCTCCTCTGATTTATAATCATCAATGTTAAGCATTTGTGAAAATAAGTTAACTTCTCATTGAGATGAATAAATATGTGTAGATTCCTAAATGCATGAACTTGTTTTTTAAAATTATGGCCAACACATTTTGTGCATCAAAGGTGCTATGTCCTTGGGGGTTTTTTGTTTGGTTGGGGGTGGTTTTGGGGGGAGGCAGTAGTCTCCGTTGGGGTATATTAGTGATGCTGAAGGTAAATATATTGTTGTTCCTTAGATATTTTATGTGATGTTTCAAATGAAGATTTTTGGTTTTGGAGGGCATGTATGGTAAAAAATAGCACTTTTCTAGGGGCATAATCAAAAAGTTAAGGAGTGGAAAAGACTAAAATGATGTATACATTAATTCATAGTTGGAGTATATAGCTTGTGCTCTTGTTCAGTGACTGAGCTAGAAATTAGTTAAAAACTTTTAAGGCCAGAACAATTTCAGCAATCCAATACATTTTAAAGCTAACACCATTCTAATCTTTAGGTACATATCCATCATGGTACTATATTCATAAACATTAAGCAAAGAGGTCATATCACATCCCTCCCTCACTTGCTTTGCTCAGGGAGGGATGTGATATGGATCTTGCTATGGTGAGGGAGGGATGTGACTGTATCCTCCTATTTGTTTTTTTGTGTTAATCACATTACAGTTAAGCAAGAAGGACTCATATTGGCTTAAAATGGCTGTAAAACAAGTTAAGTGGGTTCAGATCCCTAGCAAATGTAAAATGGTATAGTTCCACTGACTTCAAAGAGCTGTAATAATTTGCCCCAGCTGAAGAGCTGGTTTATGTCATGATGATATGCAGTATGAATGTGGCTCTTAGTCAAAGCCCTGCACTGAAATGTTGCAGACTACCCCACCGTGAGAAATGCTGCCTATGTCTAAACAGTAAAGCCTATTCTGGGTGGGCTGCCTCCTGGAAGCAGTATAGTTGCATCCCAGTGGTGCTAGAGGTATGCTGATTAACTTGGGGATGGGCTAATTGTCCCTGTCACTCAGCAGTGACAACTGGCCCATCTGAAGCACCATACAGCTACACTGCTTTCATTTAAGAGATAGCCTATCAAAAACAGTGTAGCATAACTGCAGGTACTGCTGCCATAGAGGATAATTTTACTATGTAGAAATAGTCACTGTGCCTTAAGCAGACATATATAGTGGGAAAGAAATAAGAATACAGCAGTTGCTTCATATATTCCACCAGCTGAAGCATGTATAGTCTCCCTGAGTGTCTAAAGAGTTAGCACACTATCCTGGAGTCCTTGCAGAAGCATAAAGATTGTGATAGTGCATATGCCTCTTGCACAAGAGAAAGAGCTTCCTGTGATCTCACTCTGGCCTTCTCAATAACCATAGCAGCTCTAGAAATGGGATAGGTGGTACTTTGTCTATGCTGCACATAGGCAGTGAGCTCTAAGCTCACTGCCTTATCACCACAGGCTCCTGCCTAAGTTTTAAGTGAGCAGTGAGCTCTGGACTCGATAGTTGATGGAGGCAGGACCTGGCCAGAGTCCCTGCTTTCATGTGACTAAATGCTGCTGCTGTTCATCCTTCTCCTCCCTCCCCAAACTGCTAAAGGGAAAAGGATTGAGTGGGGGAGGGGGGGGCAGCACTTAGCCCATGGGTCTGGAGCTCAGCATAAGTAGGGGCTCTAAGCAGACTCCCACACCAGGAGCTCACCTGCAACATAGCAAAAGGGGGAGGGGTTTGAAACTGCAAAACAGCACCCATTGTGTATCTAGCTCTGTCTATTTATTTACCATATGTGGTTTCAACATATTGTTTCAGCCATCTTAAGGCGATGTCATCACCAGTGTGAAGAGCCTGAAGGCCACCAAGTAGCAGTGTAAATGGACATGAATCAACAATGTGGGCCATGGTTTGAACTTGTCCACAAGGGCATTTGTTGTCATTGTGAAGGCCTCATTGGTATAGGTTTGAGGCACAGTGACCCTGTCCAGTTAAAAAAAACAGTTGAGAAGTGCCCAATAACAACGTAGCCAGTTAAATCCTGGTTGGCTGACTGTAGGGTCAGAGATGATGTGGTGATTGATTGGTGCTTGTGCTGACTATTCTTCACACCATTGAGTAAGTAAGGAAAAGTCAAAGGATTCTGAAAGGGTGGACCATATTGGGCATCTTGAGGGAAGCCAAGCTATTGGTAGGTGGAATACGTCCCAGTGCACTGGCGGCATAGGATTATCACAGAGTCTAGCTAGTAAGTTTGCTTCAGCATTTATGTGGCACAGATGAAGGGGAGCAATGTTACTGAAGACTGGTAACCAACCCTGGGAGTGGAGTGGGGCACAATGTGCCTGACACAAGATGCTTTGTAGCATGCAGTTGGGTGTCCACTAGTTTGCTGTGTGATGAATGAGCCCATACAGGGGGACAGTATTCTGCAACTGAATAACACAGTGTGAGAGCAGATGAACATAGCATGGAGGCATTGATACCCGAAGTTCAGTCTGCAAGTTTGGCAAGTAGGTTATTCCTTGTTTTGATTTTTTTTTAAAGCAGTTTTCTGGAGATATGATTTATAAGTTAAAGTCCAGTCAAGGGTGATCCCAAGATAAACTGAGTGAGTTTCAAATTTGAGAGGCTGACCATTTAAAGTGTTAGTGAGTTCACAATTAGCACTGGCATTATGCAGATGAAAAACACTTGAAACAGTCTTTGAGATATTTGGTTTGAGACACCATTTTAGGCAGTACTCGGACATCGGTCTCATGTCTCCATCAAGCGTGAGTTTCACGCCTGAAGAGTCACAAGCTTGGGTGGCAAAGGCACTGTCATTAGCCTAAACAAATTTTCATGAGCCAGTTGCATCAGCATAAACTAATTTTCATAGCGCTCCCTATAACATACCTGCACCAGTAGAAATCCCATGCGTAATTAGCAAAGCTGAAATTTGTACCAGCTGGAATAAGTCCTATTTGAAAACAAGGTTTAATTTGACTAAAAAAAAGAATCTCAGCTTTCCAGGCCTACATTTGGTGGTCACAATAGGGCAGTTGCATTATCTCCTGACTGCTGATTGCCAAAATTAAAAAATAAATAAAGCCCTTTACAACTGCACAGAACAGTAGAGTCTGGATCATAATTAATGGTCCTAGTAAATTTCATTTTCTAGTCTGGTTTCTT